TGTAACCTACAAACTGAAACTCATATATCCCCATAGACAATATTTAGATGTAGATGTCAACAAAATGCTATATGATTCATTAGTTTCATCTCATTTCAACCACCGTGGCTTTGTTTATCATTCATGTTTAGACAACACCGATGAACAAAAGTTCATAACTCATGCATCTACAATTTCACACAAATTAAGCAGATTTGAAGTGGTTGAATATGTTGAATCGTAGACGTTTTCATTCAACATGCAAATTCTTCAAAATCTATACTTATAAATGAGAAAGTTACTTACTTAATACTAACTCATTCATCTCGGTTTCTCTGTACTGGTGAGTCCTAGGAAGCTAAAATTCGGTATATAAGTAGGTGGTTCTCAGGTCTTAGATAAACACTAAGAAAGAATTGTCAAATATTCCAACTGGGGCGCCCCCGTGAGGGTAAAAGGGGCGCATATGTAAATTACCTATTCCACACTGTTTCTCCATACCGCTATATTTTTGGAGGCTGAAATTTTGTATGGATGTTCGCTTTATATTGTAGATGTGCAAACTTTTTCCCCGCGGGTGCCAGCCGCGGAGGAATTTTTTCATCTTTGTTTTTCCATGCCCTTATATTCCCGGTGGATGAATTTATACTCAGTATCAGCATTCAGACGTGCGGAGCCAGGGCAGGTTGCTAATGATCAAATATAGGAGTCCTCCCTACTTATATGGACATTTGTCTTATAGAAACAGGTGTCCATACCCTCAATTTGCGTATTAAGGTAGTGTTAAACATTCATGTACATAAAAAGGGACTATTCAAACGACCTTTTTCCTATAATATCTCCTCCACAATAAATTATCCCTATAAATGAAAGAACAATTGTCTTAACATGTCAAGAACTGTTTTTAAAAGCACGTTTAAATACCATCTGCTCAGCATTCACAATAACTAATTTATTAAAACCAAACTCAGCTCATCTAGATATTCGGCCATCCAAGGGTGCCCTTTTGAACCAATTTGATTTTATGTGTATCCGTCTGTTAACGTTTAAGGTATATCTTCATAAAAAGTTGAATTTCTTCGAATATTCGATAGGCAGCTTTGTTTTTATAACGTATGCTGCTGTTTCACTCATCAGACTTGATTCATTTCTGTAAGAGTTCACTTCAAAATTTCTGGACAGTACCAGAATCAGTCCATTCACTTGGTTATAATATGAGCCACAATAACCTACTCCGTGTCACGTTTTCTTGATAAAGCCTTGCCTTTTGATAACGAATGTTACTGATTTTACGTTCAACTCCCAACCAAACTGTTTTAGACCGACGAAATTATTTCTTTCATTTTTATGTCATAATGTTTCACCACAGCAAGGCTACGGCCTTCTGAAATATATCTGGCGAAGCATCAGAAAATAAGCTGTAACTTTCTGGTAAACAGTTACGAAGGAGTTTTTGTATGAAACTGAAATATAAATTCTAATTATATAAAAACAAGTAAAGCTGGGGCACCAGTCAACTTAATAATAACACTGATGATAATCAAACATGACTCAACCTCTGACGGAAGTACCAATCTCTTACGAAGGTTCGAAATTGATCCATACTTCAATCTAGCAGACCACTATTATAATCTTCATGCAGTCATTGTTTACTGTGGTTCTGGCATTATTACGCATTGGTCAAAGACGAAACGGACTGGTTCAAGTTTGACTCTAAGTGTTCTGGAGACACTCTACATTTTGTTTTATCAAAGAGAGGACATTGGCAGATCGAAATCTTCAGATAATGTAGTGCTGCAAGTTTTTCCGGGTTTTCCTGCAGCTGAGAAAGCAAAAGCGCCACTGCGCGCTCCGGGGGGAGCGCCAAAGAATTTTTGTTGTTGTGTCATAATTTCATGATTTGTAATACTTTCTTCTTTAATATAGGTTATTTGTGTGAATGTAATTCTAATATTGATCAAGAATTGGTATGGGATCTAATCAGGCTGCAGAACATAGAATGTGATTTCATTTGTCGAAAAGACAGCAAATATCCTATGACTGGTAGGCATAACTGTCAGTTTTTGTTTAAACTTCTTCCGCACTTCTAACCGACTGATTGCAGACATGATTGCTATTATCGGCATCTGAAATCCAACAGGTTTGAAAATATCAAAGAATTGTCGATACGCCGCGCCGCCGCCGTCCAATTATTTAAAACCTTGATAGTTCGACCTTGCGACATGAGAGAGATTTTTACTTGGAATTAGTTTTCGTTTCCCACTAGCTTTGTTCAACCTTCAGTTTTCGATTGTTCATTTCATTTTTATATTCGTATTCAATTGATCCTGTGATAATGCCAGACATCCACTAACATAACTGTTATTATGAAATCACTTGGCCATCGCTAGATTCAGTCATAATTCTTCGAATCCATTCATCAGCTTGAGATTTGTGACGTCTCTGAAAAAAATCGTAGCATATATCTATGTACTTGATCACATCCACAACGTCATTCGTGGATTTGGCTTCTAAGAACTTTTTCCATTTTGATGTTTGAGCAGCACATAAATCCCTATTAAGAATGTAGAATTATCATCAGTATTATAATCGTATCTTCAGTCTGGAACTGAAACCTTTCAGGCATGGATATTATTGAAGAAAGTTGTGCATATGTGAATTCTCAGAATACAAACAGAAATAAAGAAATAAATAAGCAAACGAATGATAAAGAAACTGTTTAGATATGCCTGTAGATTATTCACAGATTTGCTTTATTCATATGCTGAGCAAAATGAAGATATATACTTAATCTAAAACACTCTCCCGAAAGAACAAACTTGTATACGAACATTTCGTCTGCTACTGCGGCAGATACTTCCAGTGTTCCTTATAATCGTGACTGCGGTCGTGAGAGCCTATTTTCTAATACTGATACATTCTTATGGTGGTAAAAAATATTAAAAACTTTTCTTTTGCATTTTTCATTAACAATTGAAACCAGCTTTCAAAGAGGCATCATTCTTTGTAACAATGTAACATATGAAACAGAAATGATTCATTATTACTTATCTCTTTAGAATCAAAGTGCATTATACAGTCCAATGTTCATCTAATTTAGTGACAACCTGACTGATTTGTCATGAGATTTAATTTTAGAGCTCATTACCATCTTTGCAAGTTGAAAGAATTATATTTTCTCAAACAGAATTTTGTTCAGTATCATGTAGATATTTGTCTTATCTGCCATTAGTTTTCATATTTTCAGTTTTATCATTCCTCTTTCGGTTTATTTGATTTCGGTCATAGTTCGATAACGATTTACCTAAGTCTCCAAATGGGAATTTCACCTCGTAGCAATCGAAAATCAAACAAATTTACAATATAAATAAAACCTCACGTTGTATCGTTCAATATTGGATAAACTTTATAATTCACAAATATTTGTGTAAAACAACATCGCTTGTTACATGAAGTGTTATAAATAGTGAAGGCGCAGAAGTTGAAAAATATTTTTCCTTACAAATATATGACCAAATTGACGTTGAGTATGTTATCAAGTAAAAACTGAAAGTTAGTTAATAAAATTAGCAGCGACTCTTGTCTCAAGCAAGAAACATATTTCCTATCCATTGAATTGAATGAGATTCAATAACTAATTACTTATAAAATCAAGAGTCTCGTTGAGAACTGACATTCACTTTTATTTAAATGTTGACTATGAATTATGTTTCGTTTGTTACTATGGGACTGTGTCTTATTGACTATGCTGCTTTTGCTACGCGTGATAATATTTTGTTTGATTCTGACTGGTTGATCAGAATTTTTATAGAAAATTTTGTGATTATCCAGACATTACTCAGGATATTCTATTCAATTCAAACTTTTTCTACCTCCAAGTCAGACTATACAGTAATACAAATAAAAATCAGTTCGAATAGTATTTGACGTCACCAAATCCTTGAACAAACAATAAAATTCGCGTAATCAAACCGACAGAATGATGAAATTGCGTAGTTTTTCAAATGGATGACTCTGAAAGTCATGCTGATAATATATCACAAGTGTTCTAGATAAAACTCGATACACTCGTCTGAAAAATTCTCTGACTTGTACCTGAACTGATATTCGTTTTATGTCGAACATTCAGGGTATACTTTATGTGCTAAAGGCTTGTTCACATGAAGCGTTTAATGCGCAAGTAGAGTAGAGTAGCGCGGTTGCATTTCGATTGCGCCCAGGTGATGCTTTTTATGGGTGATTTTACGCGTAAGTTTAACTAGGACGAATCACAAGTATTCAATATGAAATCACAAAAGGTGGTTATGTATTGTCATGGAATCGACGCGAGCAAAGAGAAAATCTCTTCTACATAATGGAATGTTCAAAGTATAACTCTTTCCTGCTCTGAAGGTTTCAACTTTCATTTGGAATAATCTGGAGATATAATATCCTATACCGCCACCCTATTTTCAATTCCGCAGACAGAGAGTGGCGCATCGAAGTTGTCACGTTCTAATTTTGAAATTTTCTGAATACGTCTATCCGCAGCAACTGGCATAAGTCTGGATGGAACTAGAGCCCAAAAATCGATGCATTCATCACAAACGATTATATTATGCGTCGTTTTAAGTGTAACCGAACTGTTGATACAGATACTGAAAATTTTTTGATAATCTTGAATGTAGAACCAATTGTAAATGTAAAATAGACCTGGCTGGTTTTTCTCCAATAAAAAACTTACAATAGCTGATATCGATTATGATATTAACCCATGGTCAGGGACTTTCAAATGTTCCACATGGTTTTATTTAATTGAGAGACTGATTTCGAAGATTTTCTTCATTTTTGATGAATGGAATTAAACATGTTGTTTCAGCATGGATTTCAATTTCATTAAATCGCTTACGCAATATTTCTCCATTCATGAGCTGCCGGGTACAAAAATAAACCGACATATGTAGGCAAATTCTATTTATGTACTCCGGCGTGCCGAAAGAATAATATTTGCAGTTTTATTTATAGGTGACTATTCTTTTCAGGGATTCAATGGCAGGCTTGCCTTCGCGATTGCAGCCTCAGCATTGGGTTCATCGTTTCAACATGGGTACAACACAGGAGTCCTCAATAATCCAAAAACGGTGAGTAATTTACTAGAACTCTATTTCATCGATCGAATCAATGAAGTCTTCTTCTGGGAAGTATTCAGAAATAGCTTAGAATTTTCACAACAATTTTATTTGTGATGCGTTTCGCAACATGGTGGCTTCATCAGTCACTGATGCATCAAACTATTATACAATAAAGCAGGTAAATATTTTGAAAAATCAATCACAATACAAACAGTTAAAATATTGACCTTTTATGTCCAAACTGAATTATATAAATCAATGATTTTGGTCAACTTGACGACCAATTTTTAGTGCTGTCCTATACACTTTGTCTGGTGGTTTGATAACAACTATATCAGATATGTACCGGTCAAAAAACAATTCGTTTATTCGTAAATAATGAGCTGGAGATAATTTGTATTGGATTATTTCATATCAAATCAACAATTTTTACTCTTTTGAAATGCTATCGAAGACCGTAGATTGCAGAATACTTTGTTATCTGCAATTCATATATTTGGAATAGATTAGATAATATTCAATGAATTTTGTTGAGAACAAAAAAATGTTGCTAACAATAATTGACAAGACATGTTTGACTAAATGGGCTTATTTCATAATAAAAAAGATTTAAGAGTACACTCATATACATATGATAATGATGCATATTGTTTAAATAATTTAAAAATTACTTTTCTATTTTAAAAGGTTTCTCATTTCAGATAATATTTAAGAACGAAATTTCAAAAATGTTTCAAAATTGGAACTGTTTCTAATGACTTACGAAGTTTCCATTGATTAGACTTAAAAATATACCACCAAATTGACGTTGAGTATGTTATCGAGTATAAACTGAAAGTTACTTAATAAAATTCTCAGTAACTCTTGTCCCAAGCAAGAAACATATTTCCTGTCCATTGAATTGAATGAGATTCAATAACTAATTACTTATAAAATCAAGAGTCTCGTTAAAACATAGACATGACATTCACTTTTATTTAAATGTCGACTATGAATTATGTTTCGTTTGTTACTATGGGAGTGTGTCTTATTGACTATGCTGCTTCTGCTACACGTGATAATATGTTGTTTGATTCTCACTGGTTGATCGGAATTTTCAAAGAAAATGTTGTGATTATCTAGACATCAGGATATTCCATTCTATTCAAATGTTTTCTACCTTCAAGTCAGTTACTGGACTATACAGTAATACAGATAAAAATCAGTTCGAACAGTATTTGGCGTCACCAAATCCTTGAACAAACAATAAAATTCGGTTGCTTTCTTCTTCTTCCTGTTCAATATTCCACATATTTATATATCTATGTACGTGACATGTTACAGAAAGTATATAATATTTATAAGCAATATTGGATTGTTTTACTATTCAGCTTCAAAGAGGTCAATTAATTTTGAAATTTAAACATTCAACATTATGAATCATAAAATAAACTAATAAAAAAAACTATGAATCCATTTTCAGATCAGTCAATTTGCTTCCTCAAGTTATACGAAATCAGGCAATATACAAGGTAACTTATGAATGGGTTCAATTGTTGAAGAAATTTCATCTAGCATGTTTCGTAAATGCTGAGTGGATCTATAAATATATTTCGTGTTTCGAATTAATTTTAAAAATCTGTGAATAAATGTGCAAAATATGCCCAATTATAATCTATCAATGTCCAGTTAAGACTGATTACCTTCCAACCATTCGTGGTGTACTATATAAATTGATTATTAATTTGTGAAGAAAGAGGAAACTTAATGTTCATTTCTATTGTTCCATTCATAATGAAGGTAAATAAATAGAAGAAGAAATGGTCCATGACACGAATATTGATCAGTGCTGAGTCAACTTCGAGTACATGCTATTTTAACAGTACTCGTACATATAAAGTAATAAGTGCAATAAGTTATGTGTTCTCCTTTTTTATTGATTTTAAGTTTGAATCGATGTAAATATATCTTTGTAAATATCGAATTTGATCATCAAAGAAAACATTTCCAAATTATACTTCAGAAATGTTGGATGGTAATTATTATCAGTTCGATATATATGCATAGTTTTACTGAGGTGAACTTTTGATAATAGTTCTTCCATTTCGATAGATCTGTGTTTGACTACAAACATTCTTAGCTGTAATTCTCAAAATGTTCTGAAAGTATAAGGTTGTATAAGAATAGTCGTATACAAATAGTAACAAAGTCAAATACTTTGGCAATTCTTTCTCATTTCAAATGGGACAAACCAAATGTAAGATACATTTGTGATAACACTATTTCCTCTACAACTTTTGGAGGCTGACACCTACACAAAACTTTCGATTTTATAAACTCGCAACGACTTTTTTTCGAATCTTAGTACTGATCTCTCGGAAAAAACAAATGAATATTCATTCGTCTGTATATAGTCTGTAATTGGAGAAGTGTAATTACTTCAATAATTTAATAATTATCATTAGCATAAACCCAAGTCCAAATATAAGTATTCATAAGTTAATGAACGAATAATGTTAATTTACTTTTTTTTGAAGAAAAAAATGTTCTGTATATATATCCTGTGTTTCAGGATGTATATTGTGGTATCTACTATCTTGACTTGAGAATATAAATGATTTCTAACTCCAAATGTTTCTATTGAACATACCTGAAGAAACTATTGCATGGTGCACTTTATGTTGCGGTTTTGTAAACAGTTTAGTGACAATCTATGAAAACGGAGTCTTATTTCAATACATCTGATGTAACCATTGAAATAAACGATCAGAGGTATTATTATAGGTTGTATTCATGCAATCAGATGGACTCAAAAATACATTACTCCGTATTCACAATCGTCAATGTCAACGTTTCGTCGATTATACCCGCCTTCTTCAGGGCTCCAATAAATATGATATTCTGAATACAAAAACATCACCGAAGTTGAAATAGAATTGAACTCCAGTGCAATACAATGATAAAGTATTTGGGTTTTAGTGGCGTTAGCATTGAAAATTCTGAATACAGAGTAGTATATATTTGCATCCGATTGTCCGTGAGAAAACTACCTATCAAAATAAGTTTTTCTAACATGATTTCTATCTGATATGAATAAAAAAAGGGGTGACTCTATTCCACGATTCATTTATGTACTATAAATAACCATGTCCCTGGTTAGGAATGGAATGAAATTAATTATCCTGATCTTTCTTAGGTTTTGGTGGATTGGATCAATGAGACTGCCATGAACAGAACAGGAGAATATCCAAACAAAGATAGTGTAACTCTGATTTTTTCGTTGATGACTTCTGTACTTTGCATCGGAGGAATGATTGGAGGAGCAACAACAGGTAATATTACTCAAAGTACTACAATTTTTGAATATTTTCAAAATTACCGTACATAAGATATGACAATCATTACAGTTCAAATGTTTATCAACAGTATGTTTATCAAAATACACAAATTCGTCCCTATGGATAGAATTACGCATGATGAAAATTTTTCCTCTCCATACCGTTGATAAACAAACATACTGTTGATAAACATACTGTTTATCAACAGTATGTTCATCAAAATACACAAATTCGTCCCTATGGATACATATACGAATGATGAACATTTTTCCTCTACTTTAAAATCAATTTTTGAATTCTTCGCTTTGCGTTCTCAACGACGAATTTAAATTCAAAGAAACAAGTATACAGACTCTGGTTAGAAAGTGATCACTACTATATGTAAAAATATTTTGGACCATCATTCCAGCAGTAAATTATGCATATTGTGCTTGGTATTCACATTCATTCCGTGTGGATAGATTGAGACTAATAAATTCCGGAAGATACAACTTCTAGATAGAGCTTGTCAAATCTAGGAAGCGACTTTAAAGTCTCGGCTTAGGACTTCCCCTAAGATGCGCGTGTTAGAAAACCCTTAAAGTCGATCGAAGCTCAGTCTTCGATCGAAGCTCAGTCTTCGATAACAAATTAATTCAGGTTTATAGTAGATATGACATATGTTTTATTTATACTCAAGCTTTGTCAGTGAAGTTGAATGACGACAATAAATTATATTTATTACTATTATTATTTATAGTTTGAGATATATTTATTTTACCAGTGGTATTTTCGTAATAAATGTTACACCTCAAAGAAGGTACTGAACTCTTTATATCAAACTTTCCGTTAATATTACTACATCCATTAAGGTTATTGTGTATTAGACTTCAATGTCAAATCAATCTAATTCACGATATTGGAGAATATTTGTAGTCAGAAGTTAATTCATGTATCCAACAAGATCCAATCTATATAATATTTCATTTCTTGAGCCTTCATTTTCGATATGTCTGACATGAACACATTAGATTAGCATTTGATTGCCGTTTTGAACATTCACGTAACAAAAAACTCAAAAAATGAATATTCATTCTACTTATACACATCTCGGTTTTGCAAATGTTATTATTTTATGTATGTTGGGTTTAGATAGTTTCACAATGAGAACATTTGTAATAAATTTCCAAAACTGTTAGTTTCACAAGTTATATTATATTTTTGAGTGAGTTTGAAAGGGCAATCTTTTCATGACTATGTGACCATAACGCCACCTATCAAAAAGCCATTCTTATAGATGAAAATGTACATGAATTCACTCTGTATGTTTTTCTCTTTCTGAGTTATATTGTAAAAACTAGGATAGGATAATTTGTTTAGGTTCAAAATATTTTTGTTGCGCTTTCAGGTGTAGATACTTCAGAATAAGTGGTATATGATAATCTTTCAAAACTTTTTGGTTCAACGAACATTATGAGATAGAACTGAAAATATTCCACTCCGTTCAAGGTTTGAATTGAAATCGATATCAATACTTTGAATTAATTAATGCAATAGAAACTTGCTACGTAGAACTCGTTTCCAACTCTTTGCAAAATTATAAGACTTTTCTGGGACTGAAATAGTGGTAACTATAATGTTCTACTCAAAATATGTTGTAGTTACCTTTGATCACTTTGGAATAATATATTGTGGTGGTTTAAAGAGGACTGTAGAGATAAATGACAATGAAATTTCCACTGCCTTCCAGCCAAGCAGCTAGTAAAATTCTTTCTAACCAGAACAGTTTTGAATAATTTTTCAGTGGCCTTTGTGAAGATTTTTGGGCTATGAAACAATTCAATGATCCTCATCATAAACCAGATATTCAGCATAGTTGCTAAGTTCAGTCCAGATATCGATTGAACAAATATTTAACTTTCTAATGGTGGTATTATGAAAGTCTTATTAATATGACACTGTCGAACCTCGTTGTCTTCAACAATGTTTCTTGTTTCATTTCAGGTTTCGTAGCTGAAAGATTTGGTCGTAAGGGAGGCCTGCTTCTCAACAACATTCTTGTAGTGTTAGCTGTGATTTGTGAAACAACATCAAAAACTGCATCATCCTACGAGCTGATCATCTTAGGCAGATTTATTATCGGTGTCAATTCTGGCTTGAATGCTGGACTTGCGCCAATGTACTTGGCAGAAGTGTCTCCGATTAATCTGAGAGGGGCTGTGGGGACGGTATACCAACTGGTCATCACCATATCCATATTGATATCGCAGGTTCTTGGACTTTCCAGTATTCTTGGAACCGATACGTTATGGCCTACTTTACTTGCCATGACTATTGTTCCCGCTATTTTCCAAGTAAGTTGAGTTGTGGTATGACAGCAGATGTAACCTCTAGCTAGATCTCTTTCCAGGAAGATCACCTTCCGAAAGTTCTATGCCATATTCAATTCCAAGTAAACACAGCTGAAGCTTACTGCAACCCCACACACCAGATCCCCAACTTATGCTCAAGTCACTGAATCGTGTTTTTGTATTGGAGATGAATATGTTATAGATAAAGATTTCGTAGATAATTCAATGTATGTCTTCAGACAAAATACCCATATTTCAACTCACTTCACAGGTGATAACTCTACCATTCTGCCCGGAATCACCTAAGTATCTGCTTCTGTCGAAGGGAAATGAATCACAAGCTCGAAGTGCATTATCATGGCTCCGAGGAAGTTTTGACGTTCACGAAGAAATGGACATGATGAAGGCTGAATGTGATGCTGCAAAGCTGGTACCAAAAGTAACAGTCCGGGAACTGGTGACAAATAGTGCTTTGAGGATCCCGTTGAGTATTGCTTTAACCGTCATGGTCGCTCAGCAGTTTTCAGGAATCAATGCAGTGAGTATTATCAGAGATGTTTTTGTTCCTGTTCTTGATCAATTTGTGAATTTGAATGAGATATATAGATAGTGTTGATAATGATAGACTATTCCAGAGCAGCCTATACTGGTTCACAGTTTTGGTTGATGTAGGGCAGTTCATGTAAAATTTATTATTAGACATTTTTCATCTTGGGATGATATTGATTAAAAATGTGACCTAATCTTGCGAAAATAAATTTTCAAAAACTGATAATCTGTTTTACCGAACACTTGCAGATAATTTCAACCAAAATTTGGTTCAGCCTTGATAACATCATTCCAATTATTTTTGTGAATCCAGATATTTCAAGAAATTAATCTTCAAAAACAATAATGCCGGAAAAGCTCTCTAAAAAATTCAAAAATTATCGTACCCAAAGAAAAATATTTTTGGGTCCGAAAATATGAATGAATCATTTAGAGGAAGCCACACAATTGTATTTTGTACTAGTACATCTTTCTTGTGGTGTATTTATGGTTCAAATTGAAATTCAAGAAATTATTTTTTGAATTTTTGAGACATTATTTTCATAATTTTGCAAGGAAATCGATGAATGACACCTTTACAACCTAAACCTAATAATCAAAGAAGAAATGAATCGATAACGGCACATTCCAGACTTTTTTAATGGCACAAAATTATATATAATTATATGACGATATCAGCCCTAGAAAGGTCTTGAACAATTTTTGTCTGAGAAATGGTTTCGGGCATAAAAAATGTTCATCTTATACCTTCCCAAACATATAATTAGAACTCATTAGATCTTTCCAACCTTTCAATTCTATAAAAAGCGCCACTCAGTAATCTCCCAGATTTCAATAAATGCAATCAATAAAGTATGAAGGGTTTGAAAAAGTTATTTCCAATCAAAGTAATTGATAGAAATATAATTTAACACAGAAAAACATACCTTAAAGGAAATAAGTATATATTTTTCAAATCTAGCATTTTGAAATGGATACTGTAGAACTCAATGAATGAGATGAATTGAACATTTAGAGGGGACGTAAACAAACTCCTTTTCGAAGCAAGGTAATATTGCAGAAACAAATAATTTCCATCCATCAAAAATTCAACTTTCATTACCCATATAATGATAATTTGGTTGAAGGAAACTTGATAGTCAACTATCAATTTATTTATAATAATAATATATTTTATAAGAGTTGTACATCTGGTACTAGGTAGTTGAATCATTGGAGAATAATTTTATTTTCAGGTTATGTTTTTCTCAAGTGAAATCTTCGAAATGGCTGGTTTACACGGCGACAATCCAAAGTACGCTACTTTAGCTATGGGCGGTATTAACGTTCTGATGACCATTGTTTCATTATTCCTTGTCGAAAAAGCTGGAAGAAAAACTCTTCTTCTCGTTGGTTTTGCTGGTATGGTAGTGGATACTTTATTGCTGACTGTCGGAATGGTCTTTGGGGTGAGTACATTTTGTTATTTGATCAACTTTTTATACATCATCAGTATAAATTACTCTATGGAAGAACTAAAATTAATTTTTTTTCACAGAAAACAAGTCCAGCTGCTGGTATCTTCTGCGTCATCTTCGTTCTGATCTACGTTGTAATGTTTGCTACTGGTCCTGGATCTATCCCATGGTTTTTGGTTTCGGAGTTATTCAACCAATCTGCTCGTCCAACAGCTAGTTCTTTAGCAGTTTGCATAAACTGGACTGCCAACTTTTTGGTCGGATTGGCATTTTTACCACTTGCGGTAAGTATCAAATTAGAATTCTAGCAATAGATGAAATTATTAAAGGACTGCGAGGACGAAAGTTATCTTGGAGTCTCAGCAATGACTGACTCAGTAGTTGCGACTTACTGCTACTACAACTTTCGTCTGCTACTGGTGCTGTAGTAGAAAACGAAATATTTGGGTATAACCATAAAATGTCTTACTTTGTGAAACATTGGTTTGAAAAACTAACACTTCACAGATATTATAGACCTTCGAAGAGGCCTAACAATTGAAAAAAGTTTTAAAAGAGGCGATAAATAGTTATTGGCTTTTCATTAATAATGACAATGAAATTGGCATATTTTCCAAACAGATTACCCAAAACGTTTCAGATTTTTCAGGAAGCTTCTGAATAAATTCTGGTACTTGAAAATGAGTGAATGATATCTAAATTTGCGAAAATCCTTCATTCACTTCATTCACATTAACTTCAAATGTTGACAAATGTATCTTGATACCCTCAGTAACTGAAAGAATTTGAATTCTGTTCGTTGAGATCTCATTCGAATGTGACTTGAATATACATTAAAAATTCAAGATATCAAACACTTAAATGAATTCGATACCAGACAGGTTCTGTAACCTGCGGCTGATGCAATAATTGTTGCTATTACCTTAAGAAAATTGTTGAATGACATTGTTAGAATTCGATTTTTCTCCTTTATACGTTTCATTGTGTTATAACTTTATTAATCGCAAGAAACTTGATGTATTTATGGTAGAAACAATATAACAAACAATAAAAATAACGAAAAACATAATAAAACAAATGAAAACATTTACGATTAATATCGAATATATTTTTTTAGTTGTGTCTTGAATTTCGTACAAATAAATTTTTTTATATCGCTATGAATTATATTACATGAAACAGCTTCTCACAAGTAGCCATGAGGAAGAAGTTCATTTTGTTTTGTAATATTGAGTATATTCAAATTCAATAAGACGGAAATAGACGTGATAGTTCTTGTTCTTTCATATTCAACATAATATTTTCAACTGACGTTTTTTTTTGTTACAGGATCTCATGGGGTCATACGTCTTTCTCATTTTCGTCGTCTTACAAGTACTTTTCCTAATCTTCATCTACAAAAAGGTTCCAGAAACCAAAAATAAATCCCTGGAGGAGATTTCTGCGATGTTCAGGCAACAATCCTATAAATAAGTTCAGAGGTGAACAGGCAGTATTTGAAAAATCTCACCTCAGAGCGGCTCTCTTCTGAATGGTATTGTGTATATATGTGTTTAAAATGTTGACTGATAGATGTATAAAAAAAGTAGGTTGCCGTAGAGCATGTGCTGAGGTGCAAAGCAGCTATAGTCTGTTTGAATAGAGGCAGAGAAATGGCAGCCATATACGAGTATTTGTGGCGGGAAACTGAATCTTTCTCTATCACATCTATCACATAATTTGGTTTGGACAGAACAATTTGCTTGCACAGCAGCACAAGTCGCTCGAGATATATGTCCAAAACCAACCAGATATATATGTCCAAGACCCTTAAGAGGCAACGTTTCTTAAATTACTATTTCATTGATTTGAGATTGGAACCACAATGAATGAAGTTCCAAAACAGATAAATTGATGGATCTGGCCGTTACTACGGGGTAAGAAATCATAATGAAGAAAAGAGAAATGGAACTTTCTATGTTTTTTACCACTTTTATTTGTAACTAATGAAAATGTCCGTAGGTATAGGACGAAACTGCAGTAACAAATAGTTAGTTACAAATAAAAGTGGTAAAAACATAGAAAGTTTCATTTCTCTTTTCTTCATTCCGAAACAGACTACTTTTTCCATTTGCATATTAACCAAATTCATTCTATCAATGATTCATTGAAATGAAGGTACACGACAAATCTAACGTTGCCTTTTATTGGTGTGGTTTACTTTTGAATGTCAAATTTGACAAGTTTGCCAATGTTTGTATATTTTCTTTGAAATCGCGCCAAATTCTGTAGAGAATGCTTAAGTAAGAAATTTGTATATACAAGTATTCAATTTAATTGTTGACGTGAAGAGTAGTATACCAAAAAGTGGAACTTTCAGAAGTTTGATCATGCCCTTAGTTTTTACATTCTATATATAACTCCAAAAACAGTTCCTGAAACTTTGAAAGGAATACTCAAAAGTTATTGAGAACACATCTGAAAGTTTCTTGAAAGACTGCATATAGTTATATTAACAAAACTTTATAAAATTAGTTATTCGAAGCTATTTTGGATCACAATAACGTGGAAAAATGTATTCGAAGAAGAAAAAAGCGTTTAACTGAGAAGTTATATTTTTGGAAATAATCAAATCAAGTATGATATTTATACCCTGATAAAATAGAACCTTTTTGTAGGTTCGTAGCGACAAAATTCATTTTACCACTTCTAGCGCTGGACTATTTTTATTCAATTCAGTAGGAAATATTTCGTCTAGTCATATATCATTATAAAAACAGTTCCTGAGAGGATTGAATCTCAATGTGTGTTTGAGTATGGATGTATTTATTGTGAGTTTAGGTAATTAATTTTGGAGATATCATATGAGATGTTCGAAATGAAATATATAAAATAAATTACTTTTTACACAGTATGCTTGTATAGAATTCTCATTGTTTGGACTTCCATTGTCCAATATGATTTGAAATCTCTGAAAACTTTCGAAAGACTTATTAATAGTCATCCTAAACGTCGTGAAGTAACTTGGTTCGAAATCTTTTCTGATTCTTTTAATTTCTTTTTTAATAGTTTAATTTCTAATGTTTTGCTTATTTTTATTCTATTTTTGTTTATTTCCACTCTCTGGTCATTTTCATCTTTTATCTTGACTATTTCATCCGTTTTATTGCAATTTCATATCACGTTTTATTGCTCACTACAATTAATATTTCAGCTATTCATTTTGATTAGATTTGTTCTTTCATAAATTTCAAATCATATTAGACAATGAAAGTCCGAACTAGTCACCACTTTCAAACATACTTGTACAGGTTTCTGCAAATCCAGTCCAAAAACGCTCTTCACAGATACTACTTCAAAATATTGAAAGAAAAGACAAAACTTTTAGCTTAGGTAATTTATGACTAGTATTAGTTTAATTTAGCCCAATGAACTTTCTATGTTGACACAGATATATTAAAACAAGCTCCTTTATAGAAATTATTGTTTTGAAGAAAATTTTTGAAAGGATTGAACTTTCCACTCATGCTTTCCTGGTATTTATGTATCAGTTTTTCAACCAAAAAAATTCAAAGACTTAAAAAAAATGTACATCATTCTAAAAGTTACATTGCTGTTAATCAAAAAAAATATACTACTACCAATCACAAGCTCAAATCTAATAATAATTTCTTGTTGTAAATAATCTCCACAACACGAAAAAGCTATGCCTTCTACTCTCGTGTTACATTTCTTTTTTATTGAAACTGTAGACACTTTTTTGTAATAGTTGATTTTTTTGTTATTTATGTAAACTTTTTTCACCATGATATTGTGTCATTTTTGTGAACCAGCGTGTCATTTTTGTGAACCAGCGTGTCATTTTGTAACAGAAATTCATTGGAATGTATTCGTATAGGAGAAATCGTCCTTCATCCTCATATTTACAGTGGGTGTTCTCTGTTGTTGTGTGAAATATCTACTATGTATGCCTACTTTCGCTTTGTATTCTCATTTCTACAAATTATAAAAGCAATTAATTTCCTAGTCGAAAAACTGATTTCAATAACTCAATTCGCAAATAATGTGTCATTGCTGTCTAGTTTAGGATGGAATCGATATATTTGAAGTGATATGTATTTTATTGTTTCCGTTAATAAGAATAAAACTCTAGTTTTTGTTAAAAATGGTTTAATTTCATAACAAATGATTTCCCAATGAACATATTCGATATATACTCAATGAATATCAATTCATCTATTGTCGATATATGTGATATTGTTGCAACTTTTCTTTCAGCTCCGGCAGCTGTTCGTCTTGGTGAGCAGGCAAAAAGGAAAAATAAAGATGGAAGGCATTTGAGTGTATGTCTGACTGAGAACAGTATGAAATTATATAATGGTCGCCACCTGGCTAAATGCAATAATTAGAATTTGAAGTTCGCCCTGCCGGGGTGACAAATTAAATTTGTGAGTTCACAAAAATATCGTATTCACTTGAGCAATCTAAAAATATGAAAGGGAGCAAACAATCAGTATTCTAGTTTCAATTAATCAGCTATAATTGAAACTTCTTGTCTAGAAATACAGACATCAGCAATATATCATACCCAACCCTGACAAGGTCAATAATTTCTTTATTTTGCACAGATCTTCACTTTGCAATCACCCAGTACTGTGTGTTAGCTCACAATTCATATACATGTAAAACCCATGAATTTGAGGTATATGATGAAAATAAGAAAATGAAATTTTATTCAAAATAATACATCTGGCCTGTTACTCCTGGACAAACGGTATTGATGAACAAGAAATCTAGATCAGGTGTAACTCCCGCGTTCCTTCTGAATAGCAACAGTCTTAAGGGATCCTTAGCAGAAACAGATTGCAGATGACAGCGCATTTTTCAATTCACGGAGGTCCCTACAACTCCCACTGAAGGAGGTTTACAATTTCAAAAATTGGGGAACTATTTTATTCCATACAAATCGGAAGTAGATATTCTACTACTTCACTTACGGATAGAAAAAGGAGAATAGGTAGTACACAGAAAACTACCAGAAGGCGTTTTAATCATCCTATATAATTCAGATTCAAGAAGATTATCTGATGGGGGAGTTTTCAAATCAACAAATGGAACTCATTGGCTCAGAACGCCATTTGTTGGAAAATTTTTTCAACAAGAAAACATGTATACATACATACATATATACATACATACATACAAACATACATACATACATACATACATACATAAATACATACATACATACATACATACATACATGCATACATACATACACACATACATACATACATACATACATACATACATATATACATGCATACATACATACATCATCACAAACTTTCACATTTATTTTATATAATTATAGAGATACTTCCTTTCTGTATATCAAAGTTAAAAGCATGTTTTTTCAGTGATATGTGACACTGAATGTAACTCACAATTGAGTTTATCAGTAAGAGAAGGGATCATGTCACAACATACACCAAAGTCTTTGTATAAAAAGCTAAAATACTTCATTATTCATTTTGAAAATGGGTATGGGGATATAGCACACTTCCAAGAAGTTCCTATTATGGTCCAAAGGTAGTGTAACTAAATGTCACATTACCAAAACTATAACAATTGTCTTCTATTGTACGGAATATCAGTCTACCGTTAGGCAACTAGCATTGCTGGTATCATAAGAAGCCGGCGAGAATTCTAAAAGTTTGCTGTTTGCTGCTTGATACAGGTATCTGTATACTGTTCAGCTTAGAGAAAATCGTAAAAATTATCAGTAACTCTGATGTAGTATTTTGCTAAGCTTCTTGCAAGAAGAGTGGGACTGAAGTTAGTAACTGAAAAGGTATCCAAATATTATACCCGGAAGGAACTTAACCGAGACGATGATTTTTATTATTTGTTTTTTTAATCGCTCACGTACATGATACTATTATAACGGATTTTTGTTCATCTAGGTAAGTCACATTCAAGTCTTTCCGAGTTTTATTGTATATCCCATTGTCCCACACAGCACCAGATTTGACTTCAATTTAGCTCTACTGCAAATACGGAACATAAAAAAATCGTCGACTTTAGGAAACTTTTGTTACAAAAATATTCAAATAGATGACAATGATACAGCTGAGATATTTGCAAATTTCTTTTCATCTGTTTATGATCCGGATATAATCTCAATTTCATAAATGATGCTGATATAGTTAACAATTTTTGCGACATTAGAGAAATAGGAGAGTCAGATTTTGAAAATACAATTAAGAAATTGAAACCAAAGAAAGCGGCTGGTGTTGATGGAATTCCCCCATACATTCTGAAAGCATGTGGCGATTGGGTAAAAATACCACTTCTGCATATATTCAACCTTATCATCAAATCAAATGTTTTTCCAGATTTGTGGAAAACCGCTATAACAACACCTATTTATAAGAGTGGTAAAAAATTTGTCATTGAAAATTATCGGCCAATCTCCATAATGTGTGCTCCAGCCAAGTTATTCGAGCGAATTATTTATACACGAATANATCGGCCAATCTCCATAATGTGTGCTCCAGCCAAGTTATTTGAGCAAATTATTTATACACGAAAATTCAACTACGCAAAAATATATATCACGGAAGAACAGCACGGGTTTGTTAACAATAAATCAATCAATACCAATCTATTTATTTTTACTAATTATGCATATAATACACTAG